TCAGAAAGCAGAGACAACACTTATAAAATTTTCCCTTACTGACATAATTTTCTTATATACAACAAAGCAGCTTGCTAGATAAGGTCTGATATTTAAATTCTGACCATAAACCATACCTTTTTTCTAATGTTCCTAGTTTCACATTATAACAGCATATTGAGAACGTAATCCACAAAAAGTAGCAGTATTAAAAAGCAGGTGCACTGGCTGAAATAAGATCTAATGACATGTGAATAATCTGCATTCTTTAAAGAAAAAGAAGGTTGTCTTGTTAGGAGAAACTGTCAATGCAAGTATAGAGAAGAAAATAAAAATAACTTAATACAGGAATAGTTAAACAGATAAAAGAGAAGAAACAAGTCAATGTACCCTGGGGAATAGGCAAATCATACTGACTGAAGCTATGCATCTGCCTACCAGCTTATATTTTCAGATTACAAAATTGAATTTACTATCTGTGTCCTTACTGTTTTGCAGGTTAACTGCTATCATTGTATGAATTTGCAATTCCTTTCTCTGAGCTGCTGAACTATATTGTACTATACTGACTTGCAGTATCATACAGGAACCTCCATCTCACAGGCCTATTGTGCTTTAAGACTCATATTCAACATACTCTTGAAATGCCAACAATTTTCTTCTGCTGTTTTGCTCAGATCATGCTCCCCTTGCTATTGTATCAGGAATCCCATTGTAACGCTCTTCCTTATTTTCTTGTTATAGCCTTCTTCTATAATTCACCTCTAAAGCCTTAAACACTTTAGTCCATAATTAAAACAGCTTTGCTTGCACTGAGATCTTCAGTATTAGGGAAGGGAGTAAGTTATTTAAAGTGCAGCCAACTAAAGTAATAATTAAATACAACTTCCTGGTACCCAGCAACACTTTACTGCTTTCTGATGTTGTATGTCTTGTCTGCAAGTATCTTGGAATAAAACACTTCAACTGTGCCACCCAGATTTAAGTTTGCTATGCTCATTTGGCTGCCACCACACTAAAATATGCAGGGTTTACATCTATCTTTACAAAGCAGACTTTATTACATGGTTGAGCAGAAATGAAAGGACAGCTAACACTTACAGCAAAATTCTAGTATTTAAATATAAACTTTAAAGAAACCAAAAGAAAACCCAGAAACCATAGTATTTGTTTTAGCTAATTTTGTTCAAAAGAAAAGAGTAATAATCAGTGTTATGTGAGCTGATGAAAAGCAGAACCACTTAAGGAACCATGACAGTGGTTTAATCACCTTGCTTTGCCAATACCAGATGTCTCACTGACATGTAACTGAAATTTCAGTATTACAAATATGTCTCACTTTGAAAGACAACTTACACCCATTTCTTAATATGCACTGCAATGTAAAATTGCTCATTCCCAATGCCTTTCTGACTTTTCCCTCTTTTACACAATCTTGTACTTTTTTAAAATCAATACCTTAATAACAAAATTTTATAAAGCTGTGCAGTTCCAAGGCAGCAAGAACATCTACCATCAGGCAGGGTTGTAGCAGATACAGCTTTGAAAAGCTGATTAGACTTTTCCTCTAAAATAGGATGCATCGTACAAAACGATGATCTGAGTCACTGAAATAAGAATGCAAAAAGATGCATTTTATAATGCATTAGTCCTAAAACTCTAGAAATCAACAGCCTGTATACTGTGGGTATTTCTATTGGAATAAATAGGGTTGTATCTCCAAGGATAAGCTGAATCAATGGATTAAATAAATTATTTTATCTTTTCTTAAACCACACATTCACATGCTTGTTAAAACTAGAATGACTAAAGGAGAAGCCAGCTATTTAGAGTGGAATATCATCATATGATCAGTATGAAATATTTTGACCTACAGAAGTATAGGAAGAGTCAAGAACAAATACTAAGTACATTTATTGCCACACAAGGCAATAATAGATGGACAGACAAGATAAAGCCTAGCATACTTTACCATAACAGTACTCAAACCACTGCTACTTAACCTTATTTTGAGAGGAGAGAAACCCACCTGGGTTTTGGGTGCGCATGTATCAGCGTGCATCAGGCCAATCTCTTCTCTGTGCCTTCCCAATGCTGTTACATTTACACCTTCTGACATGGTGAAATGGAACACGTGTTACCCATTTGCTAAACCTATGGCCCACCCAAAGCTGGGGAGCACATAACACTGTTAAAATTAACTGTATTTGTGTCTTACACATCATATGTGCCCTCTCACAGTCCCTAATGGAGAGCAGAGAAAGCCAGCATTCACCTTGCTGATTATTTGATTACGGATAGATAATCACATACACACACCCTGCACTGTGCTTGTTATTCACACTGCGACTCCTTCAGTAATCCTGTGGGTCTGAACCAGGTTTGGGGCTGACCTGCGGGCGGGCAGCTTGGAGAAGGACCTGGGGGTCCTGGTGGACAACAAGCTGCCCATGAGCCAGCAGTGTGTCCCGGTGGCCAAGGAGGCCAGTGGGATCCTGGGGGACATTAGGAAGAGCATTGCCAGCAGGTCACAGAAGGAAGATCCTCCCCTTGTACTCAGCCCTGATGAGGCACACCTGGAGTGCTGTGTCCACTTCTGGGTTCCTCAGGACAAGAGACAGACACATGGAGCTCCCGGAGCAGGTCCAACAGAGAGCAAGAGAGGTGATTAAAGGAGTGTTTCTCTTAGGAGGAAAGGCTGAGCGAGCTGGGCCTGTTTAGACTCAAGGAGAAACGACCCCTCGAGTGGATCTCATCACTGCTTACCCGTGTCTGAATGAGGGTGTCAAAAGGATGGAGCCAGGCTCCTGTCAGTAGTGCCAGGCAAGAGGACAAGAGGCAACACGCAGAAATTGATGAAGCTCCACCTGAACATGAGGAAGAACTTTTACCGCGCATGTGACTGACCACTGGAACAATTGGCCCAAGAGGGTGTAGAGTCTCCCGTACCGGAGACATTCAAGAACCGACAGACACACGGCTGTGCCACGTGCTCTGTGCCGACGCTTCTACAGCACACACAAGCACCAGGATCCCTCCCCACAAATGCCGGGACTTCCCGAAACAAAATTTCCTTTATTGAGACCGCCCCGCCCCGCCCCCCAGAGCTGCGCCTGCGCAGAACGCCGTGCGGGGGAGGTGCCCTTGGGGCCGACGCGCGGCGGTGCGTGACGCCATCCGGTGACGTCACGCTGGTGACGTCAGGACTGTGACGCCAGGGTGGGGAGCCGGTTGCGGCCGTTCGCGCTTATGGAGGACGAAGACTGTCCCGACCTGGTTCCGATAGGCGCCGACGCCGCGGAGCAGACCGATGCCAACCCCAGCAGGAAGATCCCCGTGACGATCATCACGGGGTACTTAGGTGAGGAGCGGGAGTAGCGCGCCGGAGGCGCTGCGTGCAGACAGGGAAGGCCCGGGCGGGCGGGCTGCTGCGGGGCCAGGGCAGCGGGCCGGGGGCCTGCGCCCCACGGGCCGGGTGAGCAGCGCGGGGCCCTCCGGCCGCTTCAGTGGGTTTACAGGGCCAGTGTGAGCAGCAGTTTAAGCACCCGTTGGTGCTTTCACCACGCTGCTTTCAGGGGCCGCTTCGTTCCGGTCACGATTGATAAACGGCTCTTGCCCAGAATAGTGCAGACTATTTGGCTCAGTTAAATGCAGACTGCAGTGCAGTCAGAAAAACGTGAGATTAGGCGTTTTTCCAGTACCCCTCAGCCAGTAGAGTTACAGTGCTACGCTGTTATGGACAGTAAGGATCTTGTTACATTTAGGATCGCCATCACTGCTATGAAAGTTGTTACTTTGTATACATCACACCGTTGCAGAAAAAATCATTAGGACAAGTAAGGAAGGTTTCCTAGTTCAAGTGGTCACCTGTGGGACCAGACGATCTCCAGAGATCCCTTCCACCCTTGACAATTCTGTCATCTTGTGAATGGGATGAAATTGCTCCTACGGTGGTGTTGCAAGGGTTGTGAACAAGTTTTTTAACAGTGCCCCATTTAGAGGCAGTTGTAGCACATCCGTGGTTAGTGATGGCAGAACTGGTCAGAAAAGGCAGTAAGAGGGAGAAGATTAAGTGTGCCTTCTGTTAAGAGAAGCATAAAAGTTAGTTTTGTAGGAAAAGACTGCCCAGCTAGTACGGAACTTGTAAGTTTATCAAGTACTGACACTTAATGAATGGAAAAACCATTGGTCATTTAAGACTGAGATTTAATGTCCTGCTAGTTCTATGTGGTCAAATATATCTACAAATCTAATCAAATTCCACATCACGATTATGAAATGTAGGATATTAGAATGAAAACTCTTATTTAGAAGAGGCTTGCTTGAAGTGTACATGTGCATGCGTAACAGTATTTAGTTTTTTATTTGAAAATTTGTGGGGTTTTTTTTACATTTTAATATAAATGTGGTCTGTGTTCTAGGAGCTGGAAAAACAACTCTTCTAAATTACATACTGACAGAACAGCATAATAAAAGAATTGCAGTTATTCTGAATGAATTCGGAGAAGGTATGTAAACATGCAGAAACCTTTCTTTTTGCCACAAAATGACAAGTACAATAAGCTGCTGGAAACCAAGACTGTTGTAATTTTAAACCTATGACCAAAATTATTAATGTACCTCATAGACTTCAGAAGGGCAGAAAGTCTTTTTGCTGGTTTTCATAAAATAGTGACATGCATTAATTTGTTTTGCACATAAATGCGGGCCCTCAGATTAAAGAAAATAAATATATCACCCTGTTGGAAGCATTTGTCCCACTCAGTTTCAAGCAAATGGAAATTAATATGATGCTAAGTAATATTTTCTTTTATTTCCTTTCCCCTCAGCCATTTGCAGATCACAAATTACCCTGGACCAAGAAAATGGGGAGATGTGTGCTTGATGACTATGGTTCTTTGAACTCTTTGCTTTCAGGATTTTTAGCTATAATTTCTAGCTATAATTTAATATCCATACCATAGTCAGAAGCTTACATTGTTTACAGCTGACACTGTGTTGGTGGGGGGTTGTTTGTTTGTTTTTTTTCATCAGCAAAGATGCTTGTTGCTTTTCTGGTCACGGAGCTTAAAACAAAATGTACAGACAAAGCCTTTATTTGATATGGAGGCAGAGGCTGGTGTCCCTTTCTTTTAGCAAAGTTTGTGGCATTTACAATGTACTATCATCCAGTAGGGTTTGATCTTTGTGGAATCATCTTTGTCTTGGCTTTTAAATTTCTCAAAATGGGAAATACGAATTTCTTAAGAATATGTCAGACACATGATCTCAGGAGAAGAGTGTAATCCACATATCTCTTTCCTACAGGCATTGTCATGCAAGATTGTAGATGTATACAAAATATACAAAAATATAGCGGTACTTGTATTTTCAGGAAGTGCCTTGGAGAAATCTCTGGCAATCAGTCAAGGGGGAGAACTCTATGAAGAATGGCTGGAGCTCAGAAATGGCTGCTTGTGCTGTTCAGTAAAGTAAGTAAGGACTATTGTACAAGTTCTTAGCAGTGGATATTGTGGGGAATTGAGGAAGGGAGAAGACAGCCAGAATTTGATTCCTGAAACTGATGGTAAAAATTGATTGAGACTTCTTTTGTCAGATGAAACAACAATTGGAATTTCGGAGGTAAAAATTTATTTCCTGTTGCTGCCTTACTGGATTTGGGCTTGGTGTTTTTCAGAAAAGTAATCTAAATACCAGCTTATGCACCACTGCAGTATTATAGAGTAGGGATCTGTCCCTCTATTGTTAGTACTTTATGTTTCCATGTAGGGAGCTGAGCTGAAGATTCAGGTAAACTGTTTCTTCACAAAATGCTTAACTTTGCTTCTTTCCTTGTACATTGGTTACTACTTCAATATTGTATTCATCAAAAAGGATGAATGGAAAACCTTTTGTGATCTAATAGAACACAATATCCAAATCTATAAGCTGATGATCATGTTAAAAAGCAAGAGAATATTTGTTTCTTTGACATGTTTTTTACCCTGTTTGTCTCAATGCTGAATTGTTTGTGCTAAGTTTGTAAATAAGAGTTATGGCCTGTTTGTCCTGAAAATTTGGGAGAACTGATCTTAAATAGTAATAGGTAGTAAGTGGAAAACAGAAGATCTTATTGGATTGTTTTTCTGGGGTATAAGGAATGCTGTCTTGCTACTATGTTTTATATACATTGGTTTCTCATATAAATGCTAGACATTTCTGCTTCAGGCTGACTTCATCAGCTCTAATTTAAGTAAATGGCACATGTTCATCTTGGTGTAGGTGAGATAAAAAGGCAAGGCAACATGCTTAACCTCACCGCTTATTTCTGTAATATCAGCTGCCAAACCAAATAGTCACATATCTACACAGCCCTACTGTCCTTTACAGGTTGTTCGCTGTTTGAAAACAAATTTTTAAATCACCTTAGAGATTAGGCAAATAATATTTTCAGACTAAAATGAAACAGAAAACTAAAATTTGCCTAATATTATATCAGTGGATAACTAAATTTTCATTGTAGACTGTAAGTCTGCAAGTGTCTTGCTTCAGAACTTCTGCTTTGATTATGCTGTCAGTGTGTTCTGCTTTAGAAGATACATTTAAATACATACTTTAGTTTATTTTCTCTGTTCTAAAGTTTGTTTTTTCTTCCAGGGACAATGGTGTGAAAGCAATTGAGAACCTGATGCAAAGGAGAGGAAAATTTGACTATATATTGTTAGAAACAACTGGTTTGGCAGATCCAGGTAGTTAAACTTTACAGTTTTCATAACCATTATAATTATTCTGGTTTTATGAACTACTTATTTGCTTACCAGTTAATTCACTTTGACAGTTGTAAAATAAATTGGTGAGTTGTCAGGCATCTATGCTTTGATAGTTGTATAGACTCTAATGAGTTGGTTAAGGTGCAAATACGAGGTAGTGTGTTTGGTTGGGTTCTGTTTGTTGAACTTGCTTTAAATTGAATCTAAAGTTTAGCAGAAATGCAGCTAAAATGTATTTCCATTTAGAGAAGACAGTGGGCTTAGCAAAGAGAAGCATACTATGAAACTAGCAGTTTTCAGTAAAAGCAGTTTTGATGTTCTACATTCCTCCTTTTAAAGTCTAAATAGTTAGCATCTGTTGTATTCTTACACTGATTGTGATAGACCTTACATTTTGTGAAGTCATAAAATATACTGTGAAGTAGACTAGTACATTCTTCATAAAGAGCAGTAATAGATTTTACAAAATCCTACTGTGCTCTTTAATAATATTTGTTATAGAAAGGTGTTTAAACTTGAGCTCATGTTAGGAATAGCTATTGGAAACAGTTTTCTCTAAACCATCCACATTAAAAATCTGTTGTAGATGGAGGGGGAAGGAAATTCTTATCAGAAATTCAATTGTTTCTCCTTTTGGAGACTGGTGCTTTCCAGCTTAAAGCTGCAAAATAGTTGTCATTATAAAGTAATTTTCTTCGAAAGACAGGACATTGATTTGGCCTCTGTTACACACAAATTCTGTTTGAGTGAAATTGGAAAACTATTAAGCTTTTTGGAAAAAAAATCAATAGATACCAGAAAATGATTTCATGTTGTGGTCCCTGCTATATCTTGCACGAGTAAGCACTAGAACAACTGTCAGGTATTTGGGTCTGATACAGAGCGGTGTTTGAAGGACTGCATTATATCACTTCATGTGGACAGTTTTAGGTGTTGAAATGGCTTTAGTTACTGATCTTATTGTTAGCACTACAAATACAGTTTTTCTATGAAATACCTCAGTGCTGGTAGTTTACTGGAAAAATCTCAATTTTGCAATGGTATGTATACTGCATTTCTTAGGAGCTGTGGCCTCCATGTTCTGGGTTGATTCTGAGCTGGGAAGTGACATCTATCTTGATGGTAAGAAGTGCTAGCTTATTTTCTTGTGTACTGGCATTTCATATCTGGATTTAGAGTAATGTATTCTTGGTGCTTTAAGGTAAATTTCAGAAAATATTAAGAAGTGTGTGAGCTTGGTTTTCACATTGCCAGATTTGATAACAGAGGTATCCCTTATTCTGGTGATTGGTGAGATGTTTCATCTTGCTAAATCCGACAAAAGTTGTGTAATGCTTTTCTAGGGGATCAGATATGGACAGCTCTTGATTGTGATGTAAGCAGGGGGGAGGAATGTCCTTAGCTAGATGTTATAAAACTTCATTTAGGCCTAACATTACAACATGCTTTTTACCTCTTTCTTCCTTCCCCCCCTTTCTCCTGCAATGCAGTGTTTCCTAAAGGGTTTCCTATTTTTCTGAATATATAACTTGTCAACACCTGGATTTTCCTGCCTTTTGTTTTCTGCTTTCTTCACCTATTATACTTGTTGGGTCTAATATTTGCTGTGTTCCAATAAAAACCTGAGATTACTGAAAGATAAATCATCATTATATGTAGTTAAAGTGTGATTTTTTTAATGTAGGAAAAAAAAATTACTTCCTGGCTTAAAAAAATGCCGTACTGTTTTGGTCAATCTGTGTAATATCCATATAGCCAAGAAAGGAAACGTTGAGTTCAATAAGAAGGAGCTTCCTAAGTTTCTGCCAGAGACTTGCAAATTCCTGGTCATTTACCATCAGAATGACTGCATATGTCAGTCAGTCCCTTAATTTGTTTCAATATTCTGTCAAAGCATACCTCAGCCAATTTCCTTTTGTGGAAGATGAGGCATCTACTTGCAGAAATTTATCTCTCACCTGGTTCAGTAGACATTTTACTACCACAGATACGACAGTGAATAAAAAAAATATTTAGGTAACAAGTTTAATGTTCAGATATTTTCAATGCTTCCAGTTTATTGTAACTAGTTGTAAATGTGCTGATATTTTTTCCTTTGTACAGGAGGCTTGCAAGCTGTTAAACTGTCAGTTCATTCCAGCCCATTTCTATTCCATTTTAATATTATCTTTTAGGTATTGTGTCTGTTGTTGATGCAAAGCATGGATTGCAGGTAAGTTGCTAGATAAGTCACCACATTTGTTACTAGATGGTTTAAAACTCCAGCATTAGGACAGCTATTGCAGTAATGTTCATGTGGATTAATTAATTTGAACAATAGCTGTTACTTTTACATTGAATGAGGATGTGTTTCATTATTACTGTGTTTTGAATGGGCACCAGGAAGTACTGATATTTGCAGGAATTCAGAGTCTTGCAGGCACAGCAAAATGCCTGACAAGAGTTGCCAGGCTGCGAAGTACATGGCTCTTTAATTCTATCTCTTTACTCAGGAATCTTGCTTTTAATCCAAGTAGGCGTTTGGATTGCTGTAAAAACAATGGAGAAATTGGTTATTGGTCTGTGTTATTGAAAGAAGAGAACAAGGTGTCTTACAGCAGTGTGGTAAGAACTGAGTTAGGGCTCAGACTTGGAAGGGTACTAATGTAATGGCAGCTGTGGTGAGGAGAAATGAAAGCACGGGTGTCCTAGTACTGCTTCACATTAAAATGTGAATATGGAAGCAGACAAAAGGAGCAGTTATTAGAGTAACCTGTATATAAAGTATAATGGTATAATGTAAGGGCAGACATACAGAACAGTGAGCTTGGATCAGCAAAAATTGTGATTAAATAGTTCAGCTTTTTATTTTTGTTTGTTTGTTTGTGTTTTGGGTTTTTTTTGGGGGTTTTTTTTTTTTGTAATAGGTGGGTATAAATATAACTATTTGCAACTTAATAACTTAGGAGGTTACTGCTTTGATTTGGTATTGATTTTTGCAGGATTCAAAAAAATGTGGCCATAAGACAAAATGCCTTCATCATATAAAAATTCCATGCTGTGGAAGTGTTTTCAATACTTCTGCATTTACAATGGTTGCAGATGGCTCAGAGAACTGAAGAACAGTGGTTTAAAAATAAGAGACTGATTCTTCCTGTTCAAGAATTTTTTTTGTTTGGATTACTTGGGTTTCTCCTTTCATTTGTGCTTACCTAATAGCTGATATGCCAAAAGGGTAGCAGTCCTGTCCTCTCATTGATTTGTGTTGGACTGGAACAGGACAAACCTAGCCTCATAGCAATACAGTTTTGCAAGTTAGATTCATTGTGTTCTGCAAGAATTTTTGTGGAGGAGTTGGTAGAAGAGTGCAGGGAAGGGATTGATTTGCCCTTCCAAGCAGGAACAGTCTTCTAAATCAGCTCAACCATCGGAAGAAGTCATATCATGTTTTAGGACAGTCCCTTTTCAGTTGGGTTCCCTCACACTAATTCAGATGTGTTTATCCCTTGCAAAAATGTTGTTCTTCATGCAGTGCTGAATTATTGTCTTAGATCAAATATAATTGTGTTGCACACAGCAGCACTGAATTATTACTGTTTGAAAATTATTTTAAATAAATTTTAAATTAATTTTTTTAAATATTGGACTTTAATATAACATAAACAACACAGAAATATTTTGAAACATTCAAATTTTCTATCTGCTCTTACCTTTGGCAGCTTAATGAAAACATACATAATCTAATCAGTAAACCTGTAAAACACTGACATCTACTCAGAATAGCAGGAACTTCAGACTTCCTCAATTGTGTACTAAGTAAATGACTTTGGCTTTGTATAAAAGGACTTGCTAACTTGTTTAGTTCCTCTGGTTGCAAAGCCTGACCTCAACAGCTGCTTATTATTCAAAGAATTTTGAAAGCCATACAGCTAATGACATTGAGATAATGAACAGCAATTTAAGTGTGTCATGCTTCAATGAACCAACTTTTCTTTTCACAAGAAAAGCAGACAAACATCCCCATGACCAGTTAGCCAAATTGAAACTGAAGTGGTAATTGATACCGTAGGTTATCACTCCAACAGATTTGTCACACAGCAATCTGAAGTACTAATTTTTTTAATCGAGGGGAAATATTTGGATAGCTTGAAGTTTCACTCCTCAACTTGCAGGACCTCACACCTGGACTACTGACATTTGTTCTTTTCAGGACAAGAACTCTAAACATTAATTGAATAGAATCAGTACACAGAGGATTACAAAGAAAAGGTCAGAGGAGAGGTTCCTGAGAGACATCTTGTTGTTATGCTCTGCTTAGATTGTGTGCCATCAGGAATAGTTTTGTTTCTTTTTACATGATAGACTTACAGTATGCATTATTTTTGTTACTCTAGTAAAATGCTGTTAGATGCCTGATAATTCCAATAAAGAAAAAAAAAATTCCTAGGTTTTTAGAAATCTATATAATTTCCCATGACGATTGATTCAACTTTTAATTTGGTATTTCTGTAACTTGAAACTGAAATTTTAAAGTAATATTCCTGATACATTTAGAGCTGATGAAGGAATGCACAGGACTCTAACCTTCCTAGAGATATAAGCATAAGTGGCAAGTTCTTACTAATTACAGCCAGCATCAGTTTGAAGTTTTACTTCCTCCAGATGTCTGTGACATTTCTTTCCTAGAGATTGCTGCCTCCATAGCAGAGTGGGCAGAAAATAACTTGTAGCTAGACCTTTGCTGCTTCAGTGTAGTCTGTTAATGTGCCTAAGTTAAGTAAGGCTTTGAGTTCCTAAACATTACGCTGCTGCTTGAGATGCAGGTATTTTTTTCCCTTTCACTAATTCTTCAGTAAAGACATTAGCTTGGGCACATACGTGGAGATGATACTGAGAGTCCTGTAGCTCCTGATTTTGGACAACTTGCCAAAGAGCAGTGGTTTATTCATAAAACCTGGGAAAAGTTACCCGTTTTTACTATCAAAGTACAGTTTGTCTTGTACAGTCTTCCAGAGAAAAAGAGTGTGAAGTTACATATATGAAATTACGTATTGCAAGCCTAGCCTGTGTTTTGTTAGTTAAGTTTTCTCTCATTTGTAAAATCACTGAGCTTTAATTTTTTTTCCAGATATATTTTTTCATAGTTACTGTATGTCATGGTGACTTTCTTACTTCATTGTAAAGCTGAAAAATAATTAAAATAAATACTTGAAAGTTTCCCAACTCTTTAGCATTCTAATAATAAAATTAATTAGAAGATTTTCTTTAAGGTAATTATAAATCTTATAAATTATAAATGGTGAATGTATAAATGTACTTTCTCACCATCACTTACAAGAAAGGTTCTAGATGCCATCTTCCTCAATACTTTATTGAAAAATAGACCTCAACTGAATTTGGTTTGGCTTTCTTTAATTGAAAATTAATTTAAATTAACTTTTGGAATTAATCCAATTCTTTTAATTTTTGTTTAGCACTTGACAGAGGAGAAACCAGAAGGCCTTATCAATGAAGCATCTCGGTATGGATGTAGAATCAAGTTAGCAAGTGCACTGTATAAAAGTTCATTGGAAATGGGTTCTTCTATAGGGCTTTTTTCTCCTGCTTTGCTTAAACTGAATTAGATTGGTGTAATGAGGTAAAATATGGAAAAGTAGCTTCATGCTTCATTTGTTCTTTCTGCCAAGAACTGACTCTTCTATTTTAATAGTGATGGGATTTTATTTAATTGAATGAGAAGCACCTGTGTTGGGGGAATTAAAAGTTTCATGTTGGGATCTCTCATGCTTGAAGCAGAACTGGGGATAGAGGAATACTTTTTAATAAATGTGGAAGCAGAATAATTAAGGGTAGCTGTAACAGTTGAAGCCTTCATAAAGCAAAGACTTCAAGTATCACATTACAAGGAGCACATGCAAGACGAATAGGGATTTGTAAAGTTGTTACATCACTAAGAATTTTGGATTAGATGACATAAAAGACACCAACAAACAAACAAACAAATCAACCCTGAAATAAAAGAATCTAGCAAGCCTTCATTTGATCTGTTAGGGCAAAGAAGAAGATACTGAGGAGAAGTTAGTAGTACTTTAATCATTCTCCATGATGTTCTAGTTGGATTAATGCTTGTCGTTCTGTACTAACAATGCTCATACTATCTTTAGAGGACATGGGTGAGATGATGTTTCTGCCTTATAGATAAAGTATTTGTTTGTTAGTGATGTATTGTTCTCTTTTTTTTTTTTTCTTAATATATAGGCAGGTTGCATTAGCTGATCTTATAATCATCAATAAAACAGACTTGGTTTCAGAGGAAGAATTGAATAAAGTCAGAACATCTGTAAGGTATGAAACTTTTGGCATATCTGTAACACTGTACTGCCTGAAAAACTAATTTAAACATAGTTACTTCTTTACTGCTGTTAGAATAGAAATTTCATCTCGCTAATAGATTGATACAGACTGATAAGCTTATAAAGGAAAAGAGACTGCCTCTTGCTAAAAGTATTCTAGTACTTCTATGTGCTTAAACAATCTTAGCATTTTGTCTATCTGTGTAAGATTTGATGTTACTTACTAAGGAAAGGCCTTTGTTTTAAGTGTTTATGTTTTTGCATTTCTGAGCAGCTGTTGCCATTCTTGAGACTTAACAGAAGTGGAAAAAAAAAAATGAGTTCACTCAGTAAATATGAGTTCACTAGAAAATGCAAAGATCTATGGAGGAAGTCCCAAATAGTTTTCATGGAGCAGAAGAACCAATGGTCTGAATCAAATTAATGATTGAAGACATTACTCTTTATCAATACCATGATAAACCAAATTAAAAATTAAAAATTTTAAATACCTTGTGACTGTATTAATTGTTTGAAATATGAAAATAAAAATGCTTAGGCTGAGCAGAGTGTATCATGAATAGCTTTAGATAGGAAAATGCTGTTCTCACTGGTGGTATCTTGTCAGAACTTGTGAAGTTTCCCAACTGTTAGTGGAAATCAAGTATCTCAGTCCATATCTGATATGTATTTAACAAACTGGTAACAGAGTTGGGGTGCTATTTCACACGATCCTATCCATGGTTAACATATTTGAACAATATGTCACAATTGTATTTTCATCTAATTAATTCTAATTAATCTAATTCTGTTTTATTTTAGGTCAATGAATGGACTTGTTAAAATTCTAGAGACACAAAGATCAAGGTATTAAATGGCCACTATTACTAGGTACTAGATCCTGCTTCTTTCGTGACAATTTAAAGTGCTCTATTAAGTCAGCTTTATTAAACTGAAAAAACTACTGAATTAGAAATATTTAATCCAATATTTATTTTAAGAATAAGCATCTAGAAATTTATTTTCTTTTCAGGAAGTAAAAGTGTATTTTTAATTTATATTTTTATTTGCTAGTGTTCATATCACAGAATCCCAGAATGAGTGAGGTTGGAAGAGAGCAGAGTGGGTCATCTTGTCCAACCCTCTTGCCAAGCAGGGTCATCCCAGAGCACATGGTGCAGGATTGTGTCCAGGTGGTTCTTGAATATCCCCCATGAGTGAGACTCCACAACCTCTCTGGGCAATCTGTTCCAGTGCTTGGTCACCCACCCAGTAAAGTAGTTCTTGCTCATGTTCAGGTGGAACTTCCTGTGTGTCAGTTTCTCTCTGTTCCCTCTTGTCCTATTGCCTGACAGCACTGAGAGCCTGGTCCATCCTCTGACACCCTCCCTTCAGATACTTCTGTTCACTGAGGAAGTCTGTTCTCAGTCATCTGAGTCCGAACAACTCCCCCAGCCTTTCCTCATTAGTGAAGTGCCTCAGTCCATTAAACATCTTCGTTGCCCTCCCCTGGACTCCCTGCAGGAGCTCCATGTCTCCCCTGTGCTGCAGTGCCCTGTACTAGTACTAGGCACGGCCTCACTAGAGCTGACTGGAGGGGCGGGATCACTATCCATGGACTGCTGGCAGTGCTCTTCCTAATGCCCCGCAGGATATCCTTGGCCTTCTTGGACACAAAGATTCACTGTTAACCAACCTTGTGACTGAAGAGCTGCTTGTTGGTTGGTTGGTTTTGAGCTAATAATTGGTCATGTGCACTACAGTGCTTTTCTTCTACTATGTAACTTCAAATATTACTCTCATTGCTGCTGCAAATAAGTCACTACTGCAAAATGACTTAGAAAACAGTGGAAGGAACTTAGAAGAACAAGAAAAATCATTGCACTGTTTTTAATTGAAATTCTGACTCAGATTTCTTCTTAATAAGGACTTAAATGGATATTGTAGTCCCAGGAGCTTTAGAAGAGCAGTGTATCTTCCAAACTGCTAGGACTGATTTGTGCATCAGTTATTAGATTGTGGTGGTCAATGTTCATAAAGTATAGGTTTTTTATTTAAGCATATTTAAAGGAAGGTAACTCATAACCTTAACAAAGTATACTTGGCTTTTTAAAGGTATTGTCAAATATAGTTGGAAATTGTAGAGAAAAATACTTGCTGTTGCTGGGTGATCAGATAGGACTAATTTTGAAGAAGATATTAAACTACATGATTTTTGTTTTAGATGTTCATTAGGGCGAGATACAACATGTGATCTCTTTGCATATTGTATGGTGTCTGATGCCAGCTAGCACTATGTTTTGGATGTGAGATTAAGTGGGCCTCAGATTCAGTCCTCAATGACAGCTCTTTGTTATTTGTAAATATTCTTCTGTTATTAAACATTCCAAGTGTGAAATAAGAACAAAATTAATTTTTTGGCATGTTATTTGATGACATACCCTTTTTAAGATGGGGGTAGTCCTTCAAAAGCCCACATTTAAAAGGCAGGGTTCTATGTCATTTAGAACATTGCTGAGAGCAACTGAAACTCAGCTGGTCATGAATTTTACACAGGAATTGTTTCTTACTCCATTGAAAGTCTTTCATCGTAGAAACTGCTTGGTACAACTACTGTTGAATGTAAAATTTTAATGATTCTGGTTGTATTCCAGAGGTGGGTTTTTTCACTTCTCATGTTCTTTTTATTTAGCCACATATCATTAACTGTGGCTGAAAAGCTAACAGTTGCTATTTAGCAGTGAAATCTGTAGTCTGTATTGCTTTGTGAAGAGAAGTTTCTTATGCAAGTTTATAGGTAGCCATTCTTGTAAGGAGATATGATCAGCATTGCCTATTCTGTATTATATTTTTAATTTGTCTGTTTCAAACTGTAGAGTTGAAATTCCTCATAGTAGTGCTTGCCTCATAAAGTTGTTTCAGTTTTGTGTGGTAACAGTGTGTCAGTATAAGCTTCCTATATTCCAGGAGTTTGTGTCCGCCTTGAGAGGCTTCCTTTTCCCATTAGGGAAAATATTATTTGGGCATCCAGTAAAAGGGATCTTCTCATATTTTTGGAAATACCTTGTATTTTACTGTATTTTAAAAAATTTTGTTTCTGTACTTACACATTATTGTGTAAATAAATACAGCATTTCCTTGTAGAAGACAGTACCAACCACTGATATCCAGAAGTAAGGCTAAATACTAATTCCGATAGACAAGAAGAGAAACGTAAGCTTCAGTGGACACCTTAAAACCTGACATTTAAGTACATCAAAAATACAAAGCTTTTTTTTTTTTTTTTCCCCTCTCTTCAGAGTTGATCTCTCTAATGTCTTGGACCTGCATGCTTTTGACAGTTTATCTGGAGTAAGGTATGGTGATAATTTTGTCTTCTATTAGAAAAAATATCAAAAATATCTGTGTATGAAACAGACACACTGAAGTCCTGGCTCGAATGTTCATCTGAGTTTCTGTTAGAAATTCTAGTTTAGTCTGTCCTGTCTAGACCAGACAGTCACATTTTAAAAATCATTGCTTTATTAGTGGTAATATTAGATAGAATTAGTAATATTACAATATTATAATAAAAGTGGTAATATTAGATGGAAGAAGTTCCCAAGTTTCTTTATTGAGTAGAGGGTATCTGTTTTAAATTAGCAGGCACATTGCATGGAATTGCGCTTTACAGCTGAGAAGTGGAAGCTGTATTTTAATTTTAGTGCTACAGATTTCATTCTCTCAAGCAAGAGTCTTTGTACATTCTTTTCTTCTTGATTTTCAAATAAGTGTAAATTTTTTTAAAAAACCAACATCTATTAACTTGATAAATTCTAGTGGTTTATTTTTTCTTGCTTGCTTTAACATAGTTTGCCATTTTTTGCCCAAAGGAGTATCAAGGGTGTTGTGTTCATTGAAGGAGAAATGTTTTTAATGCTGAAGATACTGCAAATCAGGACAATATCAGTTTTTCTTTGTTTGAAAAACTCTAATTTTCTAACACAAACAATTAACTATATCAAACAAATATAATGAAACATTTAAATTTTGAGATTAAAACTGAATTAACTGTTGAAGTTTATTCTGGATTTATAGTCTATCTTTGATATTTCAGTTTTGCTCTGCAATACTGGCATTTTATAAATTTGAAATAATGGCATTTTGCTCACCCTACTAAAATGTGTTATTTAACTTTATTTATTTTCAGTTTGCAGAAAAAGCTTGAGCATGTAAAGACAACACATGCGCATCTAGATAAGGTAATTACCAAAAATACTGCTTCGATGTTTCTGCAATAACAGGGCTGTACAATATTGCGTGCTAATTTTGTTACAATTTCAGAAGGTTTCAGTTAGGGAGTAATGTGTTCTAAAGTATTTGTGAGATAACCTAGATTACACAAAAGGAATGTGCTTTGTTGTAGATAGATTCTAAATGACTATATTAATTCTCACTTTCAAAAATATCTTATAAGCTTCCAGTGCTCCTGACAGTCATGTAATTTGTTGATTCACATGGAGAGTATTACTGAACCAAATGGAACTACATTTTTTTTCAGGTATTTGCAGAAACAAGTCCTATAGGTTTTCTGTCCTAAACAAAATCTCTCTGGTTGAACTGTGGGTCCTCCCACAGTCCTCCGTGGGGTGTCCCTAGGTGGGTGTGGTTCATCCATAGGCCACAAGTCCCCTTAGTGGCTGCAAAAAAGTAAAAACTTACATTTTTTTAAGGTGTCTTAGAACAGTGAGCTTCCTTCAGAAAGTTTCTGTAATTAAATTTAATTTTCAGGTTAAAATACAATGCATATAATGCCTGTGTTTTTCTTTTTGAACTGCGTATTTTAACTGTGAAGTTGCTAGTCTTGAAAACAAGAAAGGGCAATTATAATCTAATTTTGGAACTAAAGATTAAATATAAAATCAGTTCATGCTTAATTATAATTACAATGACAATGCTGATAGTTTTAGTTTAATCAAAATTCTTAAATATCCTCAGTTACAGAATCTTAATAGATCCCTAAAGTAGATAGAAATGTTAAGTAGAAGCCTTCCTAAATGAGTTATAGTATCCTTGTATTATTAATGAGATCATTGTTAATTTTGTAGTGTAGAGGCATTTGACAGAATTCATTGTTAGTATCTCTGTTTAGTTTAACACCCACATATTTAAGATTATTGTTGAGACACTTGAGGCATAAATGAGGGCAGAACACTTCTCACAGTAGGCTGCAGTCCTTGTACAACAAAGTGTGCTTATTATCTTCATGTTGAAGGTCAACAGAAACAAACTGCACTGGAGCACAGTGAACTTCGGTCTGCTGTGTTTTCACGCTGCTCAGAGTGTTAGTTCTTGGTTGTTTAGATAAGTTTACTTGGTTATTAGACAAACATTTGCTGCTTGTTGCTTTAATTTTTTTTCCCTTCAGTTAGACTAGTCAATTGAAGGTTGTCATTTGAAAGCATTATAGGAAATAATTCTTTCTCTGTTCTTCCACACCACTGAGCAGTTATAATGACAAAAAAACCTCCCATATCTTCTTTAAGTAAATTGTTAATTTTACACTATGTTTTATTTTCAAATTTTCTTTTGGTAAGTGATCCTGAGGAGTTAGCTGTTGGTTGCTTTGGAACAAAATTTAACTTCAGACATCTTTATTTTCTGAATCTATTCCTACATAGTCTGTTTATAAACAGTTTTTCTTACGAGGCAAGTGCAGGTTGCCTTTTATATAAAATAATACTATAAAAATAATCAGACTATGTTGATTATTTTTTGTCTGATAGAATTGTCAGATCTTATGCCAAAAAATAGCATTCTTAACCATATTTGAAATCGTGATCATAGTAGTCTCTACAGCAAAGAATTACATGATAGCAGCTAATGGCATTATTTTGTTAAAAGCATTGTGTATGCCATATAAGTGCATACCAAAACAGAAACAAAAAGTAGAGCTCAGTTTAGCAAATTAGAGCAGAACAGAAATAAAGATTATTTTTTTTAATTTGAGGTTGTCATATACTTGCCTTTTTATGCAGCCAAGTTATAAAGAACACTTTTTATTGTATTTTGTATTATTGTAACAAGATGTTTATTCAGTTTGCTAATAATAAGTGTATCTTCCTGTTTGCAGGCCATAATTACAGTAACATTTGAAGTTCCAGGGAATATAAAAGAAGAAAACTTAAATCTCTTTATTCAGGTAAGTAATACATCACTTTCAACTCAAAAAATCATTGTGGCTTTTTATAGAAATTCATTACATCTGAAAAAGTGCAGTGTGCTGTCAGTTACAGACCTATCAAAGGTGCTGCTGGATCACTGTAGCAGAGCAGAAGAAATGGATAGTAGCAAGTTGTCATTCCATGAATGACTCAGAGCTGGCAGAGGAGCAAACATTGATCCTACTTGTTTTGAATGGGGAGGGCAGATGTACAGTCCCCAGACATAAGTGGCAGGGTTAAAAATCAACCCATAGTTAAATCACTTTTCATTTTCCACCTCCATTGCTTTGAAAGATACCATCCATCTCATATATGTAGGGTTGGGATACTATAGATTGGATCCTATAAATTGCTAGGTGTACTTAAAATTGTTGCCATAATGTGCAGAAATTCAGTTTGGCTAATACAGGAATGCAGTTGTAGTTGTGGTCCACAATTAACAACTTTTTACAATATTGTCCGGCTGTAGTTTTAAAGATGCACTTAAGTATTCATCTTCATAGGCACTTCATATGTTTTTCAGTTGCTTGGTTTTGAGAGGAGTATAGGTGACAATTCAGGATCTATTTTCATTTGTCTTATACCAAACAGTGAAGTAAATAATGAAAAAACAAGAATCAAGTCAGTCATTTGGCAGGCTGTAAGAAATGTAAGAAAGTAAAGCTCTGGTTTGTTTCCTGAGAACACTTGACCATCATAGATAGCAATGTAATTATTGTAGTTTAATCGGAAGGAAAGTTGTCTTTTTGCTTTTTCAACAACAAAGTCAGAGTATCCTTGTCTTTCCCTTCCTGACAAACAGAAGAAAGTAGCCACTCACCTATCTGAAGCTGCCTGAAAAGCAGTAATGCCATGCACAAGTATGTTTTTTGGTATATTGAGCACTGTAATCAAACTAATCCTTTATGAGATGTGAGGCCTGTGATGTGTGCTGTCCCTCAGTCACAAATACACCAAAGCAAATGAACTCCAGGCAGCTCATTACAGAACAGGCTCCAAAGTTTGTTGCTTTATATTTATATTTTATCTTCAGTCATAGTAATTTTTGGCAATAATAGTCATAGAATTCCAATAGGTCAAATGTAGGCCTATTTTATGAAATATTTTGAACTCTTTCTTTCTTTGGAGAATTTTCCGTGGTTTAGGGAAAATTCTGGGGGAACTTCCAGAAAGTGTAAGACACGTTTTAGAAAATGCGTTCCACTAAAATATTTTAGAACATTGTACTATGAAGTGATGAAAACTGTTTTTCCAAAGCTTTTGATAATTGGGGTAATGGACTCACACTGACTGTAATCCTTTCTAAGTCTGTTGCTAGTTGTTTTTACTTCATTTACAAATATTTATTCTTTCTCCAATATTCAGAGATTCTGTTTCAGAATAGTAAATATATTAAGCATAAGCTTAATTGGACTAATGCGAAGTCATTTTTGTTTATTTTACATCATTTTGTTGGCAGGTAGGCTTTCATGGACTCCAACGTCAAACACCATATAAGTATTCAAAGAGACATAGTAGATGATGACAGTTAATTCTGCTTGAGCAGGCTAGGTACTGACAAATGAGGAACAGAAAGCAAAGTATGGTAAAAAGTAATTCTTAGCCTTTAACAAGGATATGTGAAAATGGATGTTATAGGTAGATATGTTGATGTTTATTTTGACTAACAAGTGCATAATTGCTAGAGATACTATCCCCTGCTTGAACTAGATGCAAAGTTTTGTTTTCCCTCTTATATATTTCATTTTTAAAGTTTTGTTTATATACCCTAACAGTTATTTTTCTGATAAGGGACTGGTATCTATTCAAGGCAAATCTCATCAAGTGTTAGTCCAAGGTGTCCATGAGCTCTATGACTTAGAAGAGACTTCAGTAGCCTGGAAAGAAGATGAAAAGAGAATGAACAGGCTGGTCCTAATTGGTAAGAGGAAATTACATATTTCCTTGTTTGAGTTTAAGAAGCTGTTTTTTTCACAGACAGTCCTCTGACTTGGCCAGTGAAAAGCAATCAGGCTAAACTGGCCAGAATAAGTACAGTGAGTATGTTCAGCATAACCCTTTCAAAGGTTTACCCAGCAAAACCTCCTGATGTTCAAAATTGCAGTTGAGAGGAGTGTACACTATCCCTATTAGTGCCACCAAAATAAAATCAAATTAACTCAATAACATAGTAAACTTTCATAAATTATGTTGGCATATTTAATGTTATTTTTAAAATCTGTAATTATAAATTGGGTGATGGGAATAGTTTGCATGTTTGATCAAATAATTAGTAACTGTAAGGAAGGTTATTATAGCTTTAAAATGTTTTAAATCAGTTTTGTTTCTGAAAAGCTTGCAGTGCTGAGGTTCTGTGTTTCTGTTTTCTATTTATTTCTGTTTGCTTTGCAAAGTGTTTTATTCCCAAAAATAACCTACATTTTCCTCTTTCCCTTATTGCAGCTTGAAGTCTGTTGTTGCCTTAATTTTATTACTGCTATTCTCTACTGCTTGATATAATAAACATTTTCTTAGGTTAGCAGAAGCTACTTGTGTGTGGTTTTTTGTAATGCACTGTAAAATACAGTTAGATATATTATTTTTCTTTACAGGCAGGAACTTGGACAAGGAGATCATCAAAGAAGTATTCAGAGCCACTGTGAGAGAAGAACAAGGAAACAGTTGACATAAAACTGTAAAAACTATATGTCTGTTATAATCCTGCAAGGATTTTATGACAGAAGAGACTGAGTGGCATGGACTGTAGTAGTTTCTCTATCCTCTTGCAGTTTATGCAATAGTTAAACCCTGAAGTCTTCCAAATTCCAGCTGATCTACTGCTTAAAGTTTAGCTTTAACAGTCTAGAATCAAACACTATTTTGGATTTGGCTGAAGCTGTGTCAGCAACATCATGTAACTGTGCAGAAATGCAGACAGGCAAAAGGCTGTTACGTTCTACGTGAAACATTACTGTAGGGATATGGGAAACACATTTGAAGCCTAGTGCTTTCTCTTGCTAACTCTCTTCCACTGGGAATAAAGCAATAGAGATTATTGTCAGTGATGTAATCACAGTACAAAATGTCTAGTGTTTACTATTAAACTGCCTTCCATCTCTTTCCACTTGCTTTGTGATTTTTTGAATGTATGCACCCATCCCAGGTTGTGCTAAACCTGTTGTATAATGAAACTAAAAATACACAGGTAGCAGAGGTGCAAGATCACATGCAGTAAATGCTGTCTCCACTAAAGCTGTGAATGCAGTGTTGGGCCACATAGACAGCAGTTTGAAAGATGTAGCTGAACTCTTCGATCTCCTAGGCCATGACCCCGCCAGTTCAGGGTTTGGGGAACTGGGGACTGCACATTCCCACTGAGTTCAGGCTGTTCTGTATGATTTGTTATGGGGTTCTGACACTATTTTGAAAAGTTAGTCTGAAGCTTCTATCTCTCTACTCATTACAATTTAGAGTTGAACTTTCTGCCCTGTACATCCTCTAGTACCTCTTAGCTTTAGAGGGATATTTTGACTACAGCTGCGTGAAAGCAAAATGAGCCAATGCAAGAAGATAATGTAGAATTAAAAATGTTTGCAAACAGAATTCTAGGACATGCAGTTCTGAAGGATGGACTTTTAGCTACAGTGCTTGCTGTGGATACTTGATGATGTGTCTGAATAAGTAGAAATTTCAGTACTAGGAGTGTGTTACTTGTCTCACACCTAGCATTAAGAAGTAAAGAAAGAGGGCCATTCCCTCAGTCTCTCCCTCAACCAGTATCAACAGTCTTAAATTTTTTCACTTTGCTTCTACTGGAATATATGAGTTTGGAATTTATTTTCAAAAGAACTGAGGATGGAGACATTTATCAATCTTTCACTGCCTAGAGCTGGTGTCTCAGTTGATTAAAATATTTAAGTCATGTATCTTAGCTAAGATAGAGCTCTTTAGTCTCCCAGTAGATACATCAGCAGGCATGACTTCATTCCTCACATTAGAAGTAGTTTCAGATAGCTTGAAGTAGTTTTCAGGACTTAATTTTTTCTCTAAAGCAACATATAAAAAGAAAACAATCTGCTTACACAGTGTTGCTTTCTGTTTAGCAGACCTTGGTGACATTTGAGTGAACTGGCATTGCTGAGTCATACTGTGACTGTTTCCCTTAGCAATTAGAACTCTTCATTTTTAAAACTAGTGTATGTTCTCACACTGGTTTGGATTGCATAAATGGCACATGAAAATTTGTAGAATTATTGCCATCACTGTTTTTCATTGAGTGATCATGTAAACTTAAATTTGTGGATAACACATAGCTTTTGCTGGTTTTGCTTCCATTTGTCACAGGAAAAGTGATCAAAATGCCTCTTATAAATGCCTCATGTAATGGATGAACTTTGTGCTCTTTAGAGCTGTTAATTTCAGAAGTGTTACTAACTTTCAATTTGAAAAAAAGTTAAGAGTTTCAACCAGGAGTCATAAGGGAAAAAGCCATGGATAGCTTACACAGAGTAATATTTTAGATGCGTATTTTTAAATATTTGCTCACCCACCACACACTCCACCACATTCTAAAATTTCCATGATGACTGTTAATATACTGGGGTTTTTTTGTTGCTGTAGAGGGGCATCTCTGCAGCTGGATTTATGTAGTTCATGTTGATATTAACCCGTTCCTGCTAGGACCTTCCTTGCACTGCTTGCAGTGCTGATGTCAGAGAAACTCTAGTCAGTATGCACATCTTTGTCTCTGCTTGTCTTCTGAAAACTGTCTGCATATTTCAAGGCATCCCCTGGGATGGAGAGCAAGCAGCTCCTGAGCAGGGTAGGAGCTTGTACACTTGCTGGCTGTCAGGATGTCCTAGTGCTTTGTCCTCTATTCTGTTCACACGTAATGACACTGGAAATGTGACAAGGACCTTATCTTTATCCTCATCCCCCAAGAAGACCACTGGTTGCATTTCTTGGATATTTATTTAACCGGCTTTTTCTGGTCTGTTCTTATGTTCCCAACCTGGAGTGCTACGTCTTGTCTTTGCATCATGCCAGAACAAAAAGAGGAGGAAAAATAATGGCAGCTCTGTAAAAGCTGTGAAATTACTGTAATGCTTGTGTTACTGGGAGGTATGTCCATGTGAAGGATGGCCTCCAAGGAACTGGAATTGGGTTGAAGTGAGGTTGTGGAGGAGGGTGAGAGAGGCAGACACCACTTAGTCCTGTCTCGGGGTTGTGGTGTGGATCGTGGGGTTGCCAGGGTTAGGGTGGGGAGGGATCTGATGAAGACAACCATTAGCAGTTCTCCCTAAGCAGGTACCAGCAGGGGCACAGCCACACCTCTGAAGAAGTGATGGTCATCTAGACCTGGGCTTTCTTCCCATCCAGATAGCTCCCACTAGTGGTGCTTCAGTCCCTCCACCAAGAGACACAAAGCTCTAGGTAGGAAGTGATCTTGTCAACAAACCCCACACATTTTGTTCCCTAGCAGAGGCAGAGAAGTTTCTGTCTTAGAACCAAATTGCAATGATTTGATCACTCCTGTGCCTTCATGAATATCAAATATCTGTAGAAATAGACTTTACAAAGCAGCATTTTTCTCCACAGTTCTCTACTTTCCACATGTTTTTATGAGCTCCATTAAACTTGAAACTAACAAAAATCATATCATTGCACTCTTGTGCCATTGGTTTATATCAACTCTTGGGTTTAATCTTCTCGAATTACCCAGGAAGATGAATGGATGATCATGATTTAATTTATTATGCCCTTTAGAATGTAGGCATTTCTGAATTTTGGTAGTATTTTACTAGATTCTTGCTTTTTAATCCTTATGTATAACCTCCTGCCCGCTGGAGCAGGTTGTTGTCCATGTTCCATCCCAACTCCTGTAGGCAGGATGTGATCAGAGGGGACAGGATGGGTAGGGTTTTAGGGGTTTTAGGTCCAGCCACCTGCTGTCCTAAATGAGCCACTACTGCTAACATCAGCTGTCCTGAAGAGCTCACAGCAACAGCATCTGCCTCTCTTTGTGGGGCATTTCCTCTCCTACCAGGAGCATTGGCCCAAATGATGTCCATGTTCCTTTTTTCTCCCTCTGTCCACACGAACTTTTTTTGTTTGCAACCATGCTCATCCTGCACTGCTCTACAGCCTCGCATTGCATCCAAATTTGTTATATAAATTATATGTACATTATATACACTACATACAGGTCCAGGTCTGCATGGTTTTAACTGATTGCAGGTGAATTGTTTATAGCAGTGGGATTCCAGTGCTAGGCCTGTGCTGATTTCTTACCACCCCTTATGCCTGTACTCCTCTACAAAACATCCTTGTCTCTACTCCTCAAGGCCACTGATACTGTATACATCATGTTTCCCTATGCTGCATCATTCATTACATTAAAGCCATAAATATCTCATCCTACACAGAATGGCAGCTTGTTACTACTAGCTGTAAAAAATACAACTTCCAAGGATAAAAAAGCAAAGCAAATTAACAGTTTATACCTGGCCAGTTAGAGAAACTGCTGTCAAAAATAAATTGAAGAAGTCAGAGCTTCAGCCAGGTCAGGAAAACACTGGCCAGACCAGGTGTGGCAACCCTCAGCCCTGAGGTGCTGCACACTCAGTGCAAAGCTTGCGGGCCAGCTTCACAGAAACACCCGCTCAAAGCATTAGGGCTCCAGTGCACCTTAGCCTCTGTCCTGCACACACCAACATCCACAGAAATTTTCAGAAAAGAATGCACCTGAAACAGATCAACTGTCAAGCAGTCTAGGATGTGGATGTGTATTGCCTATTAAGACATAAGTAAAACACTTGTAATTTGCATTTACTTTAAAATATTGGTCTAAAGTGTGGTTTTATTGTATTGCTTCCAGTGATCTTACTGTCCTCACTCAGCCTAATCTGAAATACCTACTAATTTCACATTGCTCTCTTAATAGGATTCAAACCTGTTGCATCTCTTTCAGTTTAATAATTTCAATTTACAAGCATGGCTAATTTGTTATTTGGTTTCTTTAGTGCTTTCTCTGTACTGTTCTTGAAATGTTAAAGCTTCTTTTTAATCAGAATGAGCAGCTAAAAATGATCTTATACTGTTAAAATCAGTATTTTTTTATAATTCCACTTAAATGCAACAGACAAGGATAGATTTTTCTGTCTTGACCAGTGCAGAATTTTGTTTTAATTCACAAGAGGTTGTTCAGAACCACAACATTGAATCTCATCTTATGGAGAAAGTTTACTAAAAACCCCTACATTTATATTACAATTACCTGCTAACAATATATAATAACACAATGCCATTCTAATGTCATAACAAGATGAAAGGGCCTGGTAGTTGTAAACTCATATGTGGTTCGGATTGGACTCTAGTCCAACCCCTGCACTGAGCAGGGACATTTTCAACTAGATCAGTTTGCTTATAAATCACAGCCTGAATAAACAAAACTTCTTAAATCACAGTGGTTTTACTTGCTTCTTTGTAAATGTTCTGCTACTTGTTTCAGGAAAGATGCCTGTGGGATCCGCACCTGCCTTAGAGGAATTGGAGAAGGTGAATAAAAATGAAAACTGACACAGTTGTTGAGTTCTGATTCTCAAACAGGAACATCAGAAAGTCATATCTTAGAGGACAACTCAAAGTTAAGACTGTAAAGCAGCATATTACTTGAGCTGAAATAAAGACTTTACTATCCAATAAGTAAGCAAATTTTACTCAGTGAAGAACTCTGCTGTTGTTTCCACGGGAAACTGAATTTGTTCCAAAAGAGGATTAATCCCAGCTGCTCCATTTCTTTGTTTTTGCCTTCTAGTAGCTGATCTACTCACAGGTAGGAAAATGTCACATTAAACGAGTATTTGGTGTCATCTAGTGGTAACATTTGTTTTAGCAACTCTGTCAGCTGTTCAACGATGCAGATGTAGTCTTCTAGGAAATCCTATCTGATTTTGGGACTTACACTTTTTTCTAGATAATAAAGGAGAGATTTTAATGGAAAATAAAAATCTGTATCCCTTTAGAGCGATGGTTCAGTGAAAAATCAGAGTGAGATTTCCTCTCCCCGCCCTGTAAATTTTTTCCTCTTTCTTCTAAAAATAAGAGAATACTGACTTCATGGTTTTGATGGAGGACTTTGCTGACATAGTTGCAAGATTGAATTAATGATATAAAAGTGCCTGAGAAGGTAAGTTACAGCTTTTCTGCCCCACCACCATAGGAAGAGGAATAACTTTAATCATGTTATTCCTCTTGAATCATGTTATTCAAAAAGAGTGGTCAGAGTACAAAGTGTTGTCTTCATGATATATTTTTGGTTTGGTGGGGATTTTTTTTTACCTCCCCCCACCCTAATAATACCCCTAAGTATTCCTGATGCTACAGGCTGGACAGTGTTTCTGATTAATTATATAGTCATGAAAGACTGAATGGGAATTGGCATCATTAACATAATCTGATCCAAAGTAACACCTGACAGACAAAGGTTAAAAAGAGCTAGCCAAACTAGCACCCTCAGTTAAACAGGTAGGTAGAAATAGCCTTTCAGTTCTGTGCAAAAGGAGCATCCTGGGAAAAAGCATTGGTAGTTCCAGAATAACTAAGTCAGCATGTTGCTCCTCTAAAAGTTACTTCTTCTGCGGTCTAAATAAGACAAACTTGTTCAAACTAGTTCAATGACAGATTAATTTTTGCAGTAGTAGGCTGCAGAACCAGTTGAAAGGTCAGTGAAAACCAAGAATGGAAGACATGCTAAAACAGAAAGGCTAATTTGTCTGACAACAATTTTCCAACGGTGTACATACTAATTGATATCCCTAACTAACCACCCTTCCTGGCTTTCAGGTTGTGAAAATGAGAGCAAACTCTTCAGAGATGAGCCAGAAGATTTCGTATGTTACAAGAGAGAAAAATAAACCTGACTTTGGCTGCAGAGAGCTCCACAAAGGCTGACAGAGCAGATATGCCCACAGAAGGAGGCGCTGCTCCACCACTTTCCACACCTCACAGTGGCACCTGCAGGTCCTCAACTGCTAGCCAGGATTTGGATCGAAATCCCTTGAGGTATCCTGAAATTACACCTTTGATTCATTTTCTATTATTTTTCCCTGGACCTTAGTCAAAGGTTTCTTCTGGACTATTTTTATAATTTTAAGGAATTGTTCTTAAATCTGTCTAATCTTTCAGAAGAAACAATCAGAGTCATTTGACTATGGAAAGCTTGCTTAACAGACATGGTATGTTGCTGAGAAAAATTTTCTTTATCAGCTATTGTCAGAAGATAAAAAGAGTTACCTGAAAAAATAAATTTGTTGGGTAGAATTTAGACTATGTATGCTGAAAAATTACTTGACCCTTAACATGAGAGAGAGAATTCTTAAAAAGAGAAAAATCTCAAGTGTTTTGTCCAATATTATCCCCTTAAATGGCAGAGTTAGAAACAGCTGGCATGGTGAAGTTAACTATATTTTTCAGTGTGTGCAAAAAAATTGCAAAGCATACCATTAAGCAACTGTGCAAAGTGATCAATACCATGATGTTGACACTTACTAAATAATCACTGGAATTCTCTCTGGGACTCTTCCTTAAAACAGGGCTTTTTAATCCTTAAGTCTCAAAGTGCTTTTTAAAAGGCCAGTGAATTTGTTTGTTGAACTGAGACTAAACATACTGTCTTTCCCAAATACTCAGAAATAAAGCTGCTATTAAAATCCTCCTCCATTTGAAGGAGCTGTGTTTCTATGCTGCTTTATTCTTCCTTTTTTGTTTGTTCGCTTATGTTTCTGTGGTTGTGCTCCTGAGTAGTTAGCTTTGACTTCTTGTCAGGAATACTACAACTCAAAGCAGAGTGATGGCATTTTGCTTTTATTACCTTGCTTTATTGCTGTAGAAGGCTATACATAAGGCAAGGAATCCCTCTAGCAATCATTATGCTGATTGCATATCTTCCTTCAGATATGTTGGTGAAGAGGTGTTGTGGGAACACTTCTTTCTCTGTGTTTTTAAACTTTCTATATGCTTTGACTTAATGTTTAAAATCCTGGGCTTTTAAAATAGATGAAAAATAAATCTCTACTATAAATTCAGTGTCTCTTCCATGTACTAATCTATTAGAACAGCAAGAAAAACATCAGTATTCCTACAACCTTTGCTACCTATATCTGCAAGATGTATAACACTGTAGAACATGATGTCATTTGAGCATTACAGCCCGGAAGGCCTTGTCATACTGAGAGGATCAATATCCTCTCATTGGATGCAGTGGAAGTAGCTGTTTCTTGCACCTCTGAAAATCAGACCAGGAATGTGCAGATCTGCAGCAGTAGGAACTGTTTGAAAGTTGTGTTTCATTCTTTGCTTATTATGTGCTGAAATGACAGTCATATGGATAAATTTTCCACTCTTAACTGGTGACATAACTGGTAAATAACCATAAATGGAAGTGTAAGGCTTCCACAGTGTATATGAAATAAGTTCCTGCTAAATTAGGCCCTGACAACACAGTGCTTACTTGGCAGTACAAACAGCTTGTTAAGCAGAACATATTTATCTCTGTCATACAGTCTAGCAAGATTGTGGTGACTGCACACTTAATTTTACATAAAGTAAGATTAACTAACCTATTTTCAGTTAGAAAGAGAGTATCACTCACTTGAGAGTGGGCAAAACTATTTGAATAAACTTTCTGCATCCTTTGGACATTTTGAAGGATGTTCCTTCTATAAGAGTTGCTTTCTCTTTTAGGTTAATGATTGATGATTCCCTGGTTCCTTTTCTCAATCCTTTTCCTCCTCCCTGTTTCTCCTAATTAGATGGATAGTAACAGGCAACTTTGTAAGTCAGACTTGACTTACACAATATCATAAGTTGCTGGCATAGCACTAAATCAGTTATAAATTATGAGAAATATGTTTTCAGGCAATTTTTCCTGTTGGGGATTTGTAAATCAATTTGCATGTAAGTTTGCGTGAAAATGTTCTTTAAAACAGTCACCCTGTTTCACAGTAATTTCAGACTTGCAGCTGTAGTGAAATATAGCCTTTCTGGGGATTAAGTAAAATTTCCAGAAAAGAACTTGACAGGTATTTATGAGAGCATTAATACTACTTCGCAATAAAACTCTGCAATGAGGGAACTAACTTTCCTATAAAAATGTACATTTTCTCTGCCTTTTATAATGTATCAGAAATGCTTACATAGAAAAAATTTAATTTGTGAACTGAAAGATCTGTGAAGACAGATAAAATGAGTCAAAATATTCACCAATTTTTCAATTTTATTTTCTCTTTTAATGTCTTTTAATTCCTAAGTTAATTTCAAAACAAACAAAATCACTGCAAGTTTAAGAAGAAGAAGAAGCAGAAAATACCTCATTTGGAAACACTGTGGTTTAAAAGTGGTTTTGTTCTTACCTGCAAAACAATATATTAACTGAATTGTATTTTTTTGAGTGGTTTAAATAAATTAAAATCTTATTTTTACATCATTTTTTTGTTTCAATAGCTCAGGTTAACAACTTAGAATAAGTGCATGCTGTTCTTCATATGGTAACTGAACTATAAGAGGAACTGGAGTATCCAGCTCATTGGCAGGATGAGAATTTGAACTTCAAAACATGGCACCATGGGGAATGGCTGAATTAATTTTGAGAACTACATTTCTATCTGGAACACATATTGCATGAAACAACTGTAAAAATATATTTCCATCTAAAACTCAAGTTATTATACTAGTGATGAATTGTGAGCAAAAACTTGTTTAATTAATGGCACTGGTTCAATTCCTCTGCAACATCTGTAAACCAATACAAAATACTTTTCCTTAACAGAAAGGAAATGTCATGAGCACAGCAATTTCCTGTGTGTTGGCATCAAATCAGAACTGGGCTGGGCTTCCATAATCTACCTTCAAGAAAATCCATTAGTGTTTTCTGCCATCTTGTAGAGAGGACACTCCAGGTCACCAGGTCAACTGAATTAGAAGTAACTGGGGCTATAAAGTTCTGTTGCAATGGGACACACTTCTTTCCTTCAAGTCCACACAGGCAACAACCCAATTCCCAGTTCAGTGCATGAAAAAATTGGACCTAAAGGGACAAAGGCATCAGTACAATGCTGGTTTAAAAAAAAAAAAAAAAAAAAAAGAAGATGGGCAAACACAAAAATACAGCTCTTAAAGTAATTAACGCTGCCATGTTGTCACAAGACAAATGAGTTATGATAAACATTTTAAGGCTCAGGAATTAAAAAGCTTTAAGAATCAAATAAGAACCCAAGTAGGGGGTGAAAATGTTCCTTAACCTAGACTGCATATGTCAAACCAAGTTTCTAAAATTGGCATTTCAGAAAGCTAATTGTTTTAGTTGGAAACAGAATGAATTTAACATGTATCCTGTCACTCCATTAAGCTAGTTTTTATTTTAACAACCTTTAAAAAACTCACTCACAACACAGTTTGGTAATACTAAGAATATATTTAGCTGTTGTTTCCCAAGAAGACATTCCAGACTTTTAATATCATCCCAAATTGATAATTATTCATTTGTTGAAGATATACAGCAGTTAAGGCACTGCAGTAATGGCCAGTTACAGAAATCTCCACTTCTCAATGACATCTGCTGAGAACAGGACTGCTTATATGGGACTTGTGTTGCTATAAAACAGAAATTGAAGCACTTACCCATGGATAAATGCATCAACATAACGCTAATCTGGGTGCTGGAAAACGGGAGAACTGAATTAAAAAAGTGAAAAAAAAAATGTTCCTTTTCTTCAGGTTTTGTACTAAAATGTTCAGGCTGTATAAATTAATTTCCTCATCTTCTGTACTGCTCCTGTGAAGGCTGGTATTTTACTTTTTTAAACAAAACCTGAAACAGCATGACTTTATGACACAGTTTTGGAAAGTCTAACAAGAATCATAATGAAAGAGGGGTTACATAAACTTTTGGATGGACTTACCTGAAGCAGAGCTTGAGTTTGAACTAAAAAATTTGCAGTGGTCAGTACAACTCATTACACTTCTGGTAGTGCCTTTGTCAGGGCAAAGCCTGAAAAACTATAAAACACAGTTTTTCATTACTGTACATAAATTACACATGTGGAGACAAGCAATTCTGAAAAATTGTCATTGATCATTGCTCTTAAGATCTACATTCTGAGAATGTCAGTGTTTGCAGAGTTTTAAAAATTGATTAAAATTGATATATTTTTCTTCCAAATGCTCAACCCAATTCCTCTATCCATATGAAAAATGCAGTCAGTTCTTTATTTCAAAGATTATCACATTTCTTCTTACTTTGGTCATGTGTTTTCCTTTATTTGGATCTTATCTGTTCTTTCTAATGCTTTCCATCTTTGTTGCTGTTTCCTTGTTGGGTACGTGCTCTGGTAAATAGCAGTTATGTGATTTTATTTCAACTCTCACTAATGCACACTATGCAATGGTTTCATTGCATAGTGGTCATGGTTTCATTGCTGGCAGTGCCCAAAATTCTTTAAGATACCTCATTTAAATTGTGCTTAACTTATTCATATTAGGGATAGGAGAACTGGCGTTTTGATAGGGTAGATTTTTCCCTTTTGCTGTTTAAAATGCATTCTGAATCAGTATAGAAAGCCACAATCATGACTACAGACTAGGAGGTCTAAAGTAAGAGATGAGATTACTGTTTTCCTGTACATGCTCTGACCATCTAATGCAGTACATGGCCCACTATAAGGTATTCTGCCAACAGAGCTAGAAGTCTTTTATCTGCTTAAACAGATTACTTTGTTTAAACTAAACTCTTGGGCCTTGCCTACCATAGCATGTAGAGTGTTTTACTGTGACAGCAGTCGTACCTGCCAAACAAATGTATCTGTAGAAACTCTGCTATGAACGACTAAAAAGCCTGCAGAAATAGGGCTCAAAACCATGACTGAGTTCCTTTGGTAACCATTCAGCAGGTGACTCTCACTGACTCTTACTGGACTAGTGAATGAACTACTGAATGAGCTATTGAATGAACTCTTAGAACGCTGTAGAAGACAAAAAGATTTTATCCCGTTTGCCTGACCACCTCCTATCATTGCAGTTAACACCTTGCTTTGTTGAACCATAACACTCCACTGGCCTTTTAACAGCTGTATGAGCAGACTTTCATAGAAATGAGATAAATGCCTTACAAAATTATGTTTGCCTGCTTAAATGCAGGCCTACACCAGGGGTTTCCTAAGCACAAGAATCACATCGAGGTTACATGACTATTTTCCCCAGCTCTCCTGACTATTTTCTCCCACTCTCCACCAAGAGTGTTTGTCCTGGCAAAAATAATGCTGTGTGGGCCCTGTGTGAAAAGAGCATTTGGATGGAAAATTTCAGCTGATGTTTGACAGTCACAGGCATCTATAAACACAGCCTTTATATTGGTAAATGTCAGGAATCTTTCACAGTCGTCAGCGCCACCAACTCTGCATTCGATTTAAGCTGGATGAACAAGAATGAAGCAAAATGTCCATGAACTAAGCTTCACCTTGCATCTGTATGAAATGCCTTTGTTTATCGTATGGAAAGACACCTTCACTTGTCTTTACAGAGAGTGAGCCTGGAGAGAAACACCAGAGTCAGCAAGCTCTTTTTTAAGTTTACTTACTATACAAAACCTTGGTTTTTGAGCCATACACTAAAAAAAGAAAAGAAAAATAAATCGATTCTCTTTGTTCGTTCTTTAGTTGCCTGCTCCCGTTTCTTCGCCTGGGACAGTACCACTGTTGGGCCTCACCCCACCCTGGATTCTCGGCTCCGTGCGGGTGCTGCCCTCGGCCGGAGGGTGCTGCCGCCGTGCCCAGGGTACCCGGCTCCCGGCGAGGGTCGGCGGGGCGGCCCCGGCGCTGACAGACCGTGATCCCCCCGAGCAAGTGTGCAGCGCTGGCTCGCCCGCTCCTCGCTGCCTCCAGTTACATCCCTGGCAGGAGCCCGCGGCTCTCGGCTTCGCTTTCCAGGGTTATTTTTGGCCGGGGCCGCCGCATGCTGATGGCAGCGAGGCGGCGAGG